AATGCTACGGTGAGCAGAACAGACTGCTTCAATTGTGTGTGTGTGTGTGTGTGTGTGTGTGTGTGTGTGTACTGGGGGGAGAGTTGTGAGTGGGAGGTTACTGTGTTATGTGCGCGTGTGTGTACTGTGATGTGAGTGCACATATGGTGTGTGGTATGGTGCTTGTGTGGGGGCACAAGGAGGGAGAGAGAGGAAGGCTCGGTCACACACTACATCCAGGAGTGCTGCAGGATCAGCCCTTGGTAAGAGCATCTTCACTGTCTCCCCATTACATGGAGGGGCAGGAGTTTCACTTTCCCCTTCCCCATGCCTACTGGCTCCCCCCACAGTGCACCCTCTGGGGTCGCTGCACCCTCACCTGCTGCAGGTAGTGGATGACAGCCCCGATGGCTTCCTTCATGATGCTCACAAGCTGCACCTTCTGCGGCTCCTTAAGCAGGGACTGCTCACAGCGGGTGCATTCCTGGATCCCCAACTCCATGAGGGCATAGCAGGCAGTCACCACATCCTCTTTTACCTCTGTGCCTGTCTCCTCCAGTGCCAGCCGTACCTCCACGCATGCCAGATTCACCAGCAGGGCCAGGAACTTGCTCCCGGAGCTGCCCGCCGGGATCCAAGTGGAGCCACAGGCGTGCGCCAGACGGGCTGCCAGCTTTAGTGCAGGGTTACGCTGCCAGGAGCTCAGCTTGCTGCCGAGGATACGTGCCAGCCCGGCCTGCAGATCCCGGAGGCATTCAGAGGGCACGGTTGTCGGGGGCAGAAAGAGAGGCAGCAGTTGGCAGAGCTCAAACTTGCTGGCATCTTCGGCTTTCTGGAAATCTTCACTGAGGCCCCGCAACACCGCCAGCAGGTCGGGCTCCGCCTCCTTCCAGCACTGTGTTTCAGCAGCAGCTAGCAGCCCCACCAGAAGTGCCAAGGCTTGGTCAAAGCCATAGCCATGCCCCAGGTATGCCTGACACAGGGCAGACACAGTGCCACCAGCAATGAGGTGCCGGGGCCCACGGGGTGTACCTGCCACAGCTGTCAGGCATTGGTAGGTGTCATCGATCATGGAACGGCGGGCAGCATCATCAGGGTCCCCCCTAGCTGTGAGGAAGGTGCCAAGGATGGGGATCTTGTTTAGGACCTGGGGATGGGCAGCCAGTTCAGGATCACTGCAAAAGCAGGCCAGCAGGGCCACACCCAGGGCTCGGAGAACGTGGTCAGGGCAGCCATCCGGTGCCTCCTTGGTGGTCAGGAGACGATTGGGGAAGGTGAAGCCCACGGCATCAAAAATCCGCCGCCGAGTTTTGGCATCGATGTCACCTGCTTTGACTGCCTTGGTCACCTGAAGGGGGAGTATGTGCGATCAGCAGGATGAACGAGGTGGCAAAGACTGTCCCCTTGTACCCTGGGGTGTTGACTCTAGCAGGATTAGGTTAAGTAATGGGACTCACTCTGGGATCAGGAAGCCTCCCAGAGATCATTTCATCCAGCTCCTTCCTTCTCCCTGGAGACAGATAGGTGTGACTTCTAGGATCCCTCATCTATGATTATCTCCGTGGAAGGGAGGTCCAGGCCTCCTCAACTAACCGTTCTTCCATTTCATCACCTGGTCAGTTAGGAAGTTCTTCCTGATGTCTAATCTAGATGCGTACAACCTGAGTTGGAAGGGGCTTAGAACTCAGCATTTAAGATCCTCCAAGGATTTAGAGTCCCTTCCTAATTGTTCCCTCCAGCAAAGTCTCTGCTCCATTCCCGCCACATTCTCAGGGGAAATGGCTCCTGTGTCTCGCCACTCTGCCTGTCAAAACATTTCCCCTTACATTTCACCTAAACACCTCCTCTGCTGCAGTGTGAGCCCTTGACTCCAGAGCCTTCTCCTTGTTGCCATGGCAAACAAGCAGCGGGCTGTACTCCCTCCTCCCTTCACCCCCCACACACCAACCCCCCTCTTCCCAGCACTGCAGCTTCTGCTCTGCTGTCCCCAGCATGGGTTCCTCCAACGGGGTTAAGCCCAGAGCCAGTTCCCTTATCCTCAACCTCCCTACTGCCATCCTGGCCATCCCCTTGGGACCCCTTCCCGGTCACTTCCAGTCCTGCTATTCTTCCCACCCCCAGAATAACCATCCCTAGCCCTCAAGTACTCTGCACTTGTTACTACCTGCTGCTGTTACCCTATGAGTCAGCTCCCATCTGCTCTGGGACACCCCAGAGAGCAGACCCAGGCAGCCTCCTCCAAAGCTCCTAGGGCCACAAACATTATTCACCCCCATTCTCCCCTCTGCCCCTCTATTCAGTCCCAAGGGGCATCTTGAGTCTACTTTGGTGACTCCAGGGCTGCCAGCACCACCTATGTATCCTTGGGGATTTGCTGACCCCATTCCTAGGGGGCCCAACCACCCAGCCCTTCCCACCTCCCCATTTTCAGTTAGCTCCTTACTAGCAGCAGGGCTGCAAACTGCTCGCTGTCATTCTTGGCCTCACGGAGGGCTCCTAGGTAGCGCTCCAGGGTGGGGTTTCGGCCCTCTGCCTGGTTCAGAGCTGGCTCACAATCCGAGGCCATGATGCCCGTCTTGCCCAACTGTGAACACAAGAGGGACTGAGCATCCCTCTGCAGAGGAGGGGCGGGAAGAGGGAGGGATGGGCTCCTCAGGAGTGACCTCCCTTTAAGGGGCTGGACCTGCAAATCTTTAGGGATGAAGGGACCCTGGTCCAAGGTCACCTCCAGAAAGCGGGAATGAAAGGGCCATGCATCCTGCTGCTCAGCTGGACAGCTCTCCTCACCAACCTCCTGGGAGTGGGAGGGGGCTGGCCGCCCAGTCCAGCGGTCCCCTGGCACCAGCAGCCTAGTTTTATCTCCCTCCACTAAGCCACACAGGGAGGGAGTGGTGAGGACAGACAGGTAGGAATGGAGACATAGAAGGGTGAAGTTCGATTATCCGTACTCAGACTGACATGAGGGAAAAGGGCATCCTAGGCTTCCTTTCCCCTCCCTTCTTCAGAGAAGGCAGGACATAAGCCTCAGCTGAATGAGGATGCAGGGCGCAGAGTCGGGGAGGCTTGGAGGCGCCTTTGGGGACCCCACCCCTCCAGCCAGGGCTCTCGGTCGCCCCCGCAGGCTCCTTGCCTCCTCTCCTTTCCCTCCCTCGGGTGGCAGCGGCGGCAGCGGCGGCGGCAGCGGCGGCAGCAGCAGCAGAATTAACCCCTTGCTCTCCCTCTCCTCGCCCTCCCCGCCTCGCTACCAGCCTGTGGGTGCCGGCAGGGGCTGGAGAAGCAAGGGTCCCGGGTAGCTCCCAGGGCTACGGAGAATCCAAAAGCCGGATAATCGAAGAGAGGCTGCAGAGATGGAGGGATGAGGAGGGGAGAGGGGTTCCTGGCAGTCACCACCTGTCCGGCCGCAGCCAGGTCACAACACGACATTGATGAAGTCACGACAGGGCGGCGATGAGATCACACTTCACGATGGTGCGGTGATGTCACGGAGAGATCACGGCAATATCACAAGGGACAGCCCCCAAAGATGAGAGGGCAAATTAAAAAAAAAAAAGAAAAAAAGCTATCTATTGAAAAGAGCTGTGACAAAATGGAGTCTCGACAGGGCACGAAGATGTCGCGATATGGCGCGATGGAGTCACGATAGGGTCTCCGGGGTGTGTCGGCGTCGATCAGCGCCGGCTCGGAGAGGCCCCGGCTGGGAGGCAGGGGTGGGCCTGAAGGGGGCTGAGCTCACCAGGCTGCGGCCCCGAGCGGCGAAGT